TCATGTTCAAACAGGCAAGCTATTGAGTTTACACCACCTGTTAGTCAAGATGTCCCAAGATCAAACCTGGAAATGGGTGAGGAACGTGAGGGAAGGACTCGTGGAAATAGGAGACAGGAAGTGAAGTGGACCTTTTGCTGGGCTGGAGCAGAAGGGAGATGTCTATAAATCCATTTCACAGGTGGAGCATGTGTGTGTCACCCCGAGGGGCTGCAGCCTGAATAAAGGCACTCCTCTCCCTCCTCACCAGCCTCTAGTGCAAGCTGACTCTAGCTTTCTGCATCCTTTTACTGATTATTCTACTTGCACTTCTAGCACATGCTGCTGAGCTATCCAGTCCTCACCGCCCTATCTCTATAACCTTGAAACTAAAACTAGCTCCAGAGACCTTTATCTGTGAATAGCACAAATCAAATGAGCCCAAAAGTGACAATAAAGGAGCAATAATTAGGCCTGTGTGTTGAAACAGCACGTTTTAACTCCATCCCCAAAGTGCTCCCCTCCCCCCACCTTCCCCTCTCCTTTGGCAGCTTACCTTCTTTGGGTGGTCGCTTGGCCTCCCTGGTAAGATTGCAGACTTGGGTGGTTTGCAGCTCCTGGGTCAGGCAGCCCTCTGTCTGCTCATTCAGGGGTAACACCACATTATTTAACAAAGCCAGCGACTGGTCGTCGATCCCCCACTCTCCCAAATGCTGAGGGCAGGTGCATTTTGTATACATGATCCCACATGATTCTGTTCTCCCATTTTCTGATTTTAAGCAGCTCTCCAACCAAGTGCATAATACATGGCAACCAAACTGGCTTGGGCTGACCTTGTTCAATACCAAAAACTCAAAAAACGATTTCTGATCTTCTTCCCCTTTTTTCTGTAATCCTGGGAAATCAGTTGGAAATACTCGACGTATTTGAATAAAATTTTTATCATACTGTAGAAAAACAAAAGCATTCTTGGAATTGCAGAGTTGCATTATAGAATGATTCTTTCTTAAAAGATCCTTTATTTTTTCATGGGAAAAATGATCAAACTGATAAGCCAGGAGTGAAAAGTTAGAGCAGCTAAGGTCCTTTTTGGAAAATTTCAGGTAAATGCTATATTTGGTTGGATCTGGATTTTCCAGCGTCCAAGTGCAGTTTGTAAAGTTTTTGGGAAACATTTCACTTACAGAATACGATCCATAAATGACTCCCTTCACCAAAGTTGAACACCAGAAGTCTTGGGCAGCATTAAATCCAAACATAACCAGGAGATAGGTGGAAAATATATAAATCAGCAGGTTACGAACAGCCTTCATCCTATGTCATTTGGCCTGTAAAAATGGCAATGAAAGTCAAATGAAAGTAGGAGTCTACACGAATTAAGAAAATAAACTCCTTTCAATATTACAGCCAGCTGTTTTCAAGATTTCAGCAAAAAACCCTTTTTAAAAGAAGGGCAGGTAATTTTTATTTTGCAACACGGAAAAATTATGTTGCTGTGTGAACAGCGCCCTCATGTGGCCATTCACAATGGTCAAATTCGCAACATTCAATTTAGAAATAACATTTAATAGATTATTAATAGGAAAACCCTAACTTATCTACCAGGATTTCCTCCATGTCCATTATCATCCTATAGAATGAAAAGGGAAAACATGGAGTTTTAAAACATCGTAATCTAAATGTTAATTGTCAAAATATTATTAATCAGCCTACAGTCTATACAACCATTTCTCTCGCTGTCCTCTGCCTGCAGTAAACATCATCACACAAAATCTCATCTGATAATCTTTGAACAGCTGTCATCACATTATTTCTCTTATCTTAAATGTGAGAAGTAATTATGATAAATTATGGCTACATTTTTAAAAGCACAAATGATAATTTGTTACAGATAGAACGTCATCTCCCAAATGCCCCACTTGCCTTTGCAGGGGCCACCATGTGAACTGCTCAGAAATTCCTTTGCAAAAACATGGGCATTCATGTGGATTAATTAATTTTAAAAGCATCATTTGAGAAAGGGCATAGGTGGATAAATACAGTGGGGAAACTTGTTGTTCAACATTACCGTTAAGAACCAGGATTTAAGGCAGTCATTTCAATGTGACATGCCCTCTTGGGATACATAAAGTGGATCACTATATTAGTATCTGTATCCAAAGGTGATGTCAGTAAAAAAAAAATTCCAGAGCCATACTAATTGAGCTGGCCTCAGTCTTTTAATTTTTGAAAAATTATCAACTGTAATTTAAGGTTTCCACATGGTAATGAAATACATTGGCATTTTTGTCCCTAGCAGATTTCAGTTATTGAATTGCTCCCTTTCCAACAACAACTCCGAAGCTCCTCTTTCCTTTTTCTTTATTTTTAAATTTCAACCCTGGCCTTGGATAATAAAGTAGTCCTTGGTTATATTTACCTCTGTTAAGTTGTTATCCAAAAATAACTTGAATACTTTTCAGCTTTAACTTTTAAGAAGTTATTTCTTAGAATAAATGACACTGCTTTTTGTTTGTTTGTTTAGCCTTTGAGCTGATAAAAGTGATGCCAAGTATATTTTAAAATTCTTTAGGCTGCAGTCTCTTCCACTGTTCTGTAAACAGAGACAGACATACAGACATATAGATAGTTAAGAGTTTTCATGCCTTTGCCTGGGTCTTCTCTGAACCAAAGGATAAAACCCTCTTCCTTCCCATTGCATAACACACACCAACGCATGCACACCAAATCCAGTGACCGAAGTCCCTGAAGATAGATCTGCATTTTCCAGATTATAATTCAAATTCTATGTCTTGATATAGGCAAACACAGCCCCAACTCTAAATCTCTATATAGCAGCCGTTTAAAATAGCATCAGAACTGCTGGGACCATCAAAACAGTGTTCTCTGTTTCAAGCAAATAGCTCAATGAATAATGCATTTTCTTCACGGAAAAATAAAGCCAATGAGCATTTAAAGGTTAAAAAAAAAAAAAACAGAGAAAGTTGTAAGAAATTCTGGAAATAATTTCCTATTTTTTTGCTGTAGCACTTTGCAGGCAATGCAGGTCTGCGCAGTGTTCTTCAGGATAGAGTGTAGGCGTTGAGAGCCAATGTGACAATAAGAGTCTAAATTAGGAATTCCATCCATGAAAGGGGGCTTCATTTTCTAATCAGGAACTCAAAAAGAGGTCGTATGTCTTTTCTTAATGAAATTGGTACTTTTGCTTCCATTTATTTGACAGTGCATGTCTGCAATGCCGTGCTCATCAATGATCAGAAAGAATGAGGAAATAGCTCTGAATTCACTTTAATTCCTGCTCAAGAGAGCGCCCTCAATATAATGCTCTTTATTTTTAATCGGTCTGGAGTACAGAGTCTTGTTTTGTTGTAAATAATAAGAAAAAAATCATTCCTCCACCCCCCATTAGACTGCAGGGCCCGTTCAAAAAACTGTATTTCCCTCTTAAAGAAGGGGTGGGGGCGGGGGTGAAGGCTGGCCACGGAGGTGTCAAGGATGTTTTATTTATTTATTTATTTATTTACCTCTTGCTGAGAAGCAAACCAGCATTGAGTTTAGCTATTCTCAAAACTGATTTTCTGGGTGACACTTTAGTTTAGTTGAACATAGACGGCGCCATCACTCCACAGATTTTTTCCCCCCAGTAGAAGACCCACTGCCTTTTCTTAACTTCCTTTTAACCTAAAATTTTCCCCCCATAAAATTACCCCAATCACGCAAAACTGCCAGATTTTCTAGGTCTCTCTGCTTATTCCTTCCGACCCAGCACCTCTCTTGAAAACCAGACTTCTCTAACTTTTCAACTGCGGCGTTTAGACAGTCGGATTTGCTCACAGCCTCCCCATCCGCCAGCAACAGCCTTTCCTTTCCTTTTCCTCCCTTCTCAAACATCAAGCCCAAAGCTTCACGGGGGGAGACCCCCAGCAGAGAGAAGGTGACCCCCGGACCCCCTTCCTTACCTTCCACTCCGAAAGCTCAGGGAGGCTCTTGCTCTAAGACACCAGCACAGGCACGCGTCCCAGCAACAGTGACGGAGAGACTCCCCTTCGGTCCCAATCACCGTTGCCCATTTTCCCCGGCTCAGCTTCCAAAATCAGGATTTATTTTTAAAAACGCACACATACGAAAAGCAAAAGGTGGGGGGGAGACCAAAGACCAAAGGAGGGGCAGTAAAAAAAAAAAAAAAGAAAAGCCACTAGGAGCCCAGAGCCTGGCGCCGTATCCAACTGAATCCAACCTCCAAGCCGAGGGGGACTAAGGGAGGGAGAAGCCCCCCCAAGGGAGACTCTATGGAACCCCCCCAAAATGTTAAGTGGCTTAAGAGCGAAGATTTGTTTCATAAAATCTACCCCCAACAAACCGATTAGCCAAGAAGCAAAGAAAGCGCTGGGACGAGAAGTGACTGGTGGCGGCGGCGGCGGCTGCTATGGCAGATTTGTTGGGGCGGTGGGTTTATGACAGGAATGTTCGTGGTCGGATCAGAAGGCTCAAGCTCATGCTTTTTCCTCTTTCTGCTTTCCTCCCTCCTCCTCCTCCTCCCCCCTGCAGGTACTGATGGACGGACGGCGACTAAGGAGAGGGGGAAAAATCCTTGGCTGGTGATGTCGGAAAGCTGTTTGAATGCCCAGCGAGGAGGGAGGCGCGAGAGGGAGCGAGATAGTAAAGCTGTGTCTCGGGTGTGCGCGCCGGCGCGCGGTGCTCGCTCTCCCTTGGGCGCGCGGGCGCGCGCGGGGGTGGGGGGGTTGTACGTGCCACGGGAGCGCGTCTGCGTCTGCGCGGCGGCCTCCCGCGTGCTCGTGGGCGCTCGCGTCCCGGGTGCCGCGCGCCCCTCTCTGGCACAGCTGCGGTGCGCACTGCCGCCCGCCAGAGGCTCGCGCGGCAAGGCCGCCGCGACTTCCCGGAGTTCTGCCTCTCGGGGGCGCGGGCGGGAGTGTGAGAGAGAAGGCGAGGGGAGCCGCGAGGTGGGAAAGGAGGGAGGGGGGAGTCCCGGCGGGAGGGCGGGGGAGAGGCAGGCGGGAGGGGGCTCCGAGGAGCTCCAGCCAGGGCCGCGGTGCGCCTGCACGTCACGGCTGCTCAAACCCAAGCACGTCCCGAAAGCGGTATTTTCTGCGTCTGGGAGGTTTTTGCATCCTCAGTTCCCACCGCTGGGGCTGGCGGCGACCAACTGTAAGAGAAACGCACTAGGAGGCAAGGCAGGGGGGTGCGGAGGATGGGAAGGGGACTCTGAAGGGTGGGAAGTGAATGCAGGGCTTGATCGTCGTTTTCTTTCTGTCTTTCAGCAGGGACCTGACGCAGCCAGAGAGCTGTCATTTCAGCACCGGGATTCCGAATTGATCCAGTTCGCAGTGGAGGGGGCACATCCCAGCTCCCGAGCTGCTGCGTGTCTCTCGCTGGAACAATAGTAGTTTTTCTCTGGGAGGCTGCAATTAACATCTTATTTGTTCTGGCTCCATACAGGCTTTGTCAGGACCGCGGTGCGGCGACTGAGGTTGGGCTCTTGCATTGCTTTCTGCTTGGCAATGGAATCATGGTTTCCGGGTCTAAACTTTTGTTTTGTAGTCTTAATGTATCTGATTCTTTTTCAAGTTTCCTTAGTAACAGGTTTGGGGACGGAGTGGAAAGAAAAGAGAAAAGGGGTGAAGAGAAACAACCAAATTATATAGAAGGGAAAAGAGATAAGTTTCCCTACCTTTTAATCTATCTATCTGCCTGTCTATCCACCATCTACCAGTCATTTTGCCTCCTGGACAGTTGGCTGACGAAGTGTTTGATAAACTAGCTCAGATACATGCTGCAAAAGGTCATTCTCCTCCTGATTATGTCTCTACTTGTAAACGCAGTTGGTGGTTTGCAAAACAAGTGCTAAAATAGTGCAGTGATGTGGTGGGAGGAAACCATAATGGGCAATTGATATAAAGTGTTGGAATCTTCTTGAGGGTGACATTTTCCAGCGGCAGGTGAAGTTGAATAAAGCAATTTTCCATCATTTGTTTTCCTCACTCTTTTGCATTTTTTTCCTCCGCTTGTTGTTTCTCTCCCCCGGGGCGATTGTGGATAGCCAAGAACACCATTTTAAAAGAGGCTGATAGTGAAAGCAGGAAGATGTTGATGGTCTTTTATCCACTGGAGTTGTTTGAAATGTTGTAATTGGCCCTTTACTTCTTAATACATATTAATAGAGTGACTCTCTTCAAGGCTTTCCCTTTTTAAACGAGTGCCTGCAATAACACTCTGTTAGGCAAACAGTTAATCATTCCCCAGCAGGCTTTAACTATTTTCCCAGTAACAAATCACCGGCAAGAGAGCAACCTGGGTGGCATTTTGGTTTTGTGGCATTTTGGTTCCTTATAATATTTTTTATTCATTTAAGGAAATGTTAAAAGGAAATAGGGTTTATGTCCAGAACAAATTTTGAAACATCATTTAAGCAAACATATTTTCTTTTAAAAACAAAGAACATTGAGCAACACAAAGGAGAAAAACATCTCTATTTCAACTTCCCTGGAGATTGTAATGATGATTTTTGCAAGGCAATTTAGTTAGTTCTGTTACTTTACCCAGATGAAAAAAAAAATCATGATAGATGTGGAATAAAAATAGAGAAAAAATTCTCTGGATGGTTTATACATAAAAAGGAAATAATGTAATGTGAGATTCAGTTATAGTTCTATTTTTCATGTAGTGATTTCTCATATTATCTTTTAACACTTGATTTTGATGTTTCTTAGAAATTCTTAGTCATGACACAGTGGCATAAGAATAACTGTTGAAAGGGACAATTTAAAAGTCTTAATGCTAAATGGAAAGGACCACTTACTCCTAGGATCATTTATATTCAAGTAGAATGCAGGGCAGGGTCAGAAAAGAAAGCCACCCTTAATAAAGCGCTTCACCCTTCACACTGTTTCTCATAACCTTCATAAATTGCAGGCGACCGAGCTGGTCTGATGATGATCTTGCTGAGATATATTTATAGCAGATGATTTGTGGATGATAAATATGCCAAGCAAGACACAGTCTCCAGCAACCCCAGGCTCGTCTGACTTCCTCAGGGGATTATAATCAAGTATCACAAAAAGAACCCTATATGGACAATCTGGTCTCTGGACACTAACAACAGCACAATCCAAAGGCAAACCAAGGGGGAACCACTTTGTTTCATGTCTGCAAGATGCTCCATGTGAAAGCATTGCTGACATGTTGACCCAAAAGCAAAAAGAGAACAGCAGTTTATACATCCTCAGCACTCTGTCCTTTCAGTACTATTGATGTTGGTCCACTTCTATGATTTAATACATATTAAAATCACCATTTCAAATTATTATCTGCTTTCATTGGTCTCTTTCACAAGTCCAAGTGTGTTTATGTTTATGTATATACACATATACATACATTTTATACATGTGTGTATGTATGTACACATTTGTAAGTACACATACACATATATATAGAATATGTATATGTGTATTTCAGTTGGTACACATATATTTGGTTGGGAAGTTTCACTACATTGCTTTGTATTTCTCTTTGATAAAGTAATGCATTTCATTTCAAAACTGCCAGATTAATGTATAAACTGATTATTATGTAAGTTTCCTTGGTGACTTACGAAAGGACTATGGAGAGGCCAGTGTTAGCACATCAAAATATAGAGGGGTATTGTATTTTAGTTGACTGAGGTATCTAATGTTAAAGGCTTTCAAATTTATCTCTCCTATTAATTCATTTTATTAAGATTACTTTGGAATAATGAGGTTTCTAAGTATAATTTATCTCTATTTTTCACCTTTTTGTGTGTTTTAAGTTTAGTCCCTCCATTTTGAGAATAACCCTATACTCCGGGATGATTGTTTAAAATTCAGTATCATTGCACAATTCTATTTAGTAAGAATGTTTCTAGAATATGCTTGGTTAATTGTAGAAAGTGTTTTCTGGTTTTTCTCTTATAGTCTTTCTGGTATTACTGTATTACCACATTCTAAATTCTGTAACTTGTTATTTTCAGTAAGGCTTTAAGAAGCACAGATAAGTTTGTAGGTTACTTCTTGTTAAATATGCCTTAATTTTTTAGTATTTGGTATTTAGATATATACATATCCCCTATATATATACACACACACACATAAATGATGTGTATTAGATTATATATATTAGATATATACATACCCACATATATATTATATTATATATATTAGATATATACATATCCCCAATAATAAAAAATTAAGGCATATTTAATAAAAAAGTACTATATATATATATGGGAGATACACAGACACACACACGCACACAAAGTTTTTGGAATGTTAATTAAATGATCAAAATATTACAAGATTACATTGTTATGAGTACTTAACTTACCCTTAAAATTAGCATATTTACGATAAACAGAAACAATTTCTTCCTCTTCTTCTCTGACTCCTCCTTATTATTATTATTATTATTATTATTATTAAAAAAGGAAGTATCTCAGGAACCAAGCTGTATTTCCTCTAGTAACTGTATAAAAACAAATTGGTCATATTCTACCTAGACATCCCAGAATAGAAAGTACATAAAAGTACTAAAAAATAAAGGGATAGAGTTGGGGTTAAAGGAGATGTCATAGAACAGCTATCCTGGGTTCGTTCAAGTGTAACCCTATTCCATGTTAGACAAATGCAAGGTTAAATTTAGTCCAAAAATCCCAGTTACATCAGGTTTCAATTTTTTTTCACTATTCCCCTATACAATGATACAAGTTAAAAAACAGTTGGTAAATGCTTTTGGCCATCAATTTTCAAGGTTTCATTGGTGGCATTCAGGAAATGCCCTAAGTAGATAACACATAATGTCATATTTGTGTGTTGTAGCAACATCTTGGAAAATATGGAGTTTAAAAGCTGACAATGTGTCTTTGTAAGGAAACATAAATTTACTTCTAAATTTATCCTTTTTCAACTACTTTGTTTTTCATGTAAAGTTACTATACTTACATCATTATCTTTAATCTCTGAAATTTCAGTTATACTAGAAATCAAGATTCTTCATTCCTCATTAAGGACAAGAAGCTGTGAATTCTCTGGACTTCAGTTATCTCACAGAAAAGAGCTTGATTGAGTAATGTCTAATGTTCTTCCTGACATATTCTAAATAACAGAGGGTGTCTCACAAGAAATAGAAGCAGGGTGAGAAAAATGCAACAAAATCCTAGACAAGAAAGAATCAGTTTTTTCACTCACAGGCTGGGAATGCCTCTCTATTCTATCATAATTTGAACACCTCCATAGTTTTACTAGCTTTGCCCTTCCCACCTTGCTATCATCTGCTGATGTACAGACAGTCCTTTCCATTTTTATTATTCTCCCACTCTAATAATTTTCTTTTCTTAGACAGACTTTACCATTAATGATGACAGTAACTAAAGCTGCCAGGACCAGCACATCTGCTGACCTTTATCAACACCAGGTAATGAAGTCTCTGGACCACCCATTATTTCTGAACATTCGTCGATATTCAGCCCTGTTCCTACCAATTCTGATCCACTTATCTCCACCATTTCTCTTCCCGCCATATTCTCTCATTTTGCCTTCTGGATCTCCATGCTCCTTTATACCAACAAACAAGAGGGAGAATATTCTCTCTATCCACTTCGTTAAATGAAGCCTGCTCTTTTATGAAGGCATGGCATCTCTTCCAACTATGTCAAACAGAAGCAATTTATGGGTATTCTGCTTCCACACTCTGATTAAATGGGTCAGTGGCAGAATCAGTATCCTTACTCTACACTTTGGTTTCACATCTTTACTCCTCATTTCACTTTCGTGCCCACCTTTTTGTAGAGATCATGGCATCCGCCTTTGCCAGCTTTACCTCTTCCCCCAGGTTATATTTTCCAGTCATGGAATGTTTTAGCTGCCAGCTCACAGTTTTCCTATCTACCTGACTTCCATTCCTCTTCTCATGCAGATGTCTTATCCTGACACACTAGTTTCATTCTATTTCTGGTTTGTTTGTTTGTTTTTAATACCAGTTCAACCACATTTCCCTATGATCTTTAACTAAAAAGTCTAACTAGTGACTAAACCACTTCCAATATTTAAAATTTAGTGTTTCAATTATCTAATTACAACCTTCTACTTTTATAAACTCACCTCCTAAGTAACCACATGAAATCAAGTCTTTCACAAAATTCAGATCTTTATTTTATTGATTACTACCAATTTCTGCTCTCATCTTCATTTTCTTCCTTATACCCTGTGGTAGGCAGCCTCTAACATAGACCCAAATGATCCCTACTTCCTGGTATGTGTGTCCTTGTGTAATTATCTCTCTCTTGAATGTGGACTAGATTTAGAAATTTGCTTTTATCAAACAGAATATGGTAATAGCAATGGGATGTTACGATATAAAATGACTGTTTCATCTTGGGGGCTCTTTTACTCTTCCTTAGACCACTTGTTTGCCAGTAAACAAGATGCCATGTTGTGATACAGTCCTGAATAGAGAGGTTCATGTGAGTCTGCCCTTCTGAGACCTATCAAAAGACAAATGAGTGAGCTTAGAAATGGAAGCTTCCTTACTCAAGTCTTGAGAGAACTGCAGTCCAGCCAACATCTTGGTTACTGCTTTGTGAGAGACTGGAGCCAGAATCAAGCAGCTAAGCTGCTTCTGGACTCCTGACCTACAGATATTATAGGTCAGGAATGTTTGTTGCTTCCAACTGCTAAATTTGATGATAATTTGTTATGCAGAAGTAGGTAACTAATGCATACCCCATGGATTCCATACCCATCGTTATAATAATTTGCTTACAAAAATCTTCATCTGTCTACTACATTTTCCTGGCTGAATCACCATGCTTACTGTAATGGACAACTGCCCTCCCTGATCCGGGGCCCATGCAGCAGAGCATTATTGAAGAAATTCACACTCTCAGGCAGTTAGATGTCCCTGTAAATTTACAGTCACCAGGTTCTCATGGCCTCACCACACAGACTATTACTTATAAGTTCCCTATCTTGTTATATCCTATGAATGTTTTGTAACTTTGATTATTAAAAATGCTTCTCAACTCTCGAATTATAAGTGATAACCTTTTTTCACTTGTTATTTACAAAACAGATGTGATTAGATGGGAAATACCTTACATTCATTAAACTGATTGTACCTTCACCCATTTTCTCCTCTCTTCATATCTCCAGGGAGATGCTGCCCTTGTCTAAGAAAACACCCCCTCTACAGGTAACTTGGATCTTACTTCTGTCGGCTCTCATACGAATACTCTCTCCCTGTCTCCTGGACCACTTCGATCAGCATACATATTTTACAGTAATACTCCCTGTCTAAAAACTTCTGATAAACAACCTGTTTCTCAAATCCCCTTCATAAACAATCTTTTTTAAAAAGCTGCCACATTCACTTCACTTCCTCACTTCCCTCTCATTTCTCAATCCATTTTGTCTTCCACCCCCACAATTCCACCGAAAAATTCTTGTCAAAAATCACCGAAGACCTTCATGTTGCCAAGTTAAAGGGATAAATGTTTTTCTCATCTTACTCCAAATTTCAGCAGCATTTTAAATGCAATGCCCTCCTTTTAGAAACCACTTCTATTTTGGTTTCTGTTTTATCATACTCTCCCAGATAGACTTTTACATCACTGATCACTTAGAAGACACTGAGACTTTTCTCAGTGTCTTTTACATGTTCTTCCACATTAACTTGAAATGCTGGCTGCTTTAGAGATAAGTGTTGGATGTGCTTCCCTTATTTCTCCACCACCTCTCCCTTGGTGGTCTAATCCATTTCCTAATATAGAATATCGCTATAAAAATGTATACATACATACACACATATGAACAGGCACCCCATGTATGTCCCTTTAACAAGGATATCTGCTCTGAGTTCTAGATTTTTAAATAATCAACTGCCATGATTAATATCTCTACTAAATATGCCCCACAGTCATCTCAGATTCAGGGTAATTAAAGGAAGATTCCTGATTACTCCAAAGAAATGTGTTCTTCCCTTAGTCTTTCTGTTTAAGGAAATGGCATCCCTATCCACCTAGTTATTCAATTGGCAAACATGGGAATGATGCTTGCTGATCATTTTCTATCACTCTACACCTAATCCCTTGACAAATATTGTTTGTTCTACTTTGTATAAGTTTCCTAGGGCCATCATAATAAAATTACACAATGTGGGTGGTTTAAGCAAAAGAAATTCCTTTTTTTTTGCACTTTTGGAGGCCAGATGTCTAATATCAAGTTGCCTATTGGATTGGTTCCTCTGGGGCCTCTTTCTCCAGCTTGCACATAGCTGACCTCTTGCTGCCTCTTCAAATGGGGTGGAGGGAGTGCAGAGATGGGCACAATTCAGCCGATGATATACCCTCAACACACAGATCTCAAACCTAACCAGTTATTTCCCTTTTCCCTGCCATCTTTTTTTTTTGTAAAGCATATAGTTTTGGCCTAGTCTTTTCTTTTATTTATTTACATATATATTTTTAAATTTATTTATTATACTTTAAGTTCTGGGTACATGTGCAGATCGTGCAGGTTTGTTACATATGTATACATGTGCCATATTGGTGGTTTGCTGCATCCATCGCCCTGTCATCTACATTTGGTATTTCTCCTAATGCTATCCATCCCCAAACCCCCAACCACATGCTACCCCTCTCCTAGCTCTACCCCCCCAACAGGTCCCGGTGTGTGGTGTGTGATGTTTCCCTCCCTGTGTTCCCCATTGTTCAACACCCACTTATGAGTGAGAACGTGCAGTGTTTGGTTTTTCGTTCTCGTGTCAGTTTCCTGGGTGTTGAACAATGAGAACACAGGCACAGGGAGGGGAACATCACACACAGAGGCCTGTCGGGTGGGGAAGCTAGGGGAGGGACAGCAAGGGGTGAGGGGATTGGGGATGGATAGCATGAGGAGAAACAGCTAATGTAGATGACAGGGTGATGGATGCAGCAAACCACCCCCATGGCACATGTATACTTATGTAACAAACCTGCATGATCTGCACATGTGCCCTAGAACCTAAAGTATAATAACAAAAAAATCTATCTCTAATAAATTATACTTCAAAAAATGTATCCCTTTAAAATCAAATGGAAAAAAATATTTAACTCCAGTTACTTCTCATAACACAAATAATGAAATCCAAACTTTTAATCGTGGCCCACGGTGCCCTACCTCATCGGATTCTTGCTCCCCTCTCTAAGTTCATCTCGTGCCACACTTCTGCTTACATATAATGCCCAAGCTATATTCGTCTTTTTTTTAAGTAGCAAGGACACTACATTTTTATCTCCTTACAATCTTCCAGTGTCAAGATCATTCTACCTGGAATAAAATTTCCTTTTTTCACTGCTAGGAGAAACTTTATAGGCCTGCCCTGCCTGGTTCTTATACCTCAGATTTCATCTTGAAAATTCCCTTTTCAGAGCTTTTCAATTTTTTTTTAACCACCCAATTTATGGTGCTCTCTCCTTATGTTCTCTTTCAAGGTACTTATCTCTTTTTTATTTGTACTCAAGTAAATATTTTTTTCCTTTTTAAAATTATACTTTAAGTTCTGGGATAAATGTGCAGAACATGCAGGTTTGTTAAATAGGCATACATGTGAGCATGTTCTCATAAGTGGGAGTTGAACAAGAGAACACATGGACACAGGGAGGGTAACATCACACACTAGGGCCTGTCTATCTGTTTTATTCTAGTTACCATTTTTATATAATTGGTCTTCATCTTTTTGGTTTTTTTTTAGTATGTTAGCTCCATCATTACAAAATCCTGCCTAATATAGGGCAAGACACATAGTGAGTGCTACGTTTTCTATCCCTTAGAAAAAACTCACAATAACCTTTATAAAATCTAAAGACCCAAGGAGAATTTAGCAGTAAACCAAGAACAGAGTGCTTGGTTGAATAAGGCCATGAAGCACACACACACTGCCTATCACCTCCTCAAATATTTTTTCTAGCAATTATCTTACTAAAAATTTTTACATACATATATAGAGGCACTAAGTCGTAACATGGTAAGCGTACTGGAAAGTGAGCTTGGAAAACCAAAGTGTAGCTTAACCTAAAGCATCTGGTTTATACCTGGAAGATCTTGTCACAACATGATCACTTTGAGCTAATCCTAGCCCTTAATCTTTCTAATAATACTATCATGTTGTCTTAACCAAATCATTTACCTGAAATAAAAGTATAGGCGATAGAAATTTTTACTCTATGCACTGCTGGTTGTATTGAAGTGACAGCTAGTTAAAATACGTTGATCTAAATATTTATTTGTATTTATAATTAAATATTTATTACTTTATACATTTGAATTTGTGACCTTAAATGTGTGTGTGTGTGTGTGTGTGTGTGTGTGTGCATGAGAAAGAGCGTGCAAGAGAGAAGGAGAGAGAGACATGCATAAAGAAAGAGAGATACACAAAAAAAACATGACATAAAATAACAACAATTTATTTGTCTCATAAATATGCAATCTGCGGAAGCCTTTGCTGTTAGAACAGCTTGTCTTTTGACTTTCAGGGTCAGCCTGCACAAACTGGGTGTGAAGATTCCTTGCCCAAAATAGCTCCCCCTGTGACTGGCATTTGGTACTAGCTGTTGGCTGAAAGCTCAGTAGGAGTTGTAACACAGAGGATGCAGTACCTCTTTACAGACCATTCAATAGGGCTGCTTGCTCTTCTACACAGCATTGCAGCTGTCTTTCCTAAGTCAGTATTCCAGAATATAGAAAAAGAAATCTGTCAGTGTTTAAGACCTAGGTCTCTAAATTGGTACAGATTTATATCTGACATTACTCTTAGTCAAACAGTCACTAAGCTTGTTCAGATTCAAGGTGCTGGTGGAGGGGACTGCACTGGGTGGGGAGAGAGGTAAAAAATCTCTAGATCTTAAAGTAGTCACCATTCTCAATGAAAGGAATATCCAAGAATGTGTGATATGTGGTGTACACTCTGTTCACTGACATCTTCTTGCTGTATTCTATCATTTAATATGTTAGATATTATTCCATAATCAGTGACATCTGCAGATCTGAAGTGCTTTCCAAGAAGTCAGTGGCCAGTGTTTCAACATAGTGTCAGTAACATACAACTAGAACCATTTCTCCATTATAATGCAATATGACTGAAGGATTGTAAACACAGTGTCAGTAACATACAACTAAACATGCAAACTTCTAGAGGGCAGGGATATTATTGTATGCCATAATATCAGCGTTTGGACAGCACTTGATAAATATTGTTTGCCTAGCTCACTAATTGAGATCCTTTTAGTTGTTATAGAATGTTATTCAACCAAACAATCCATATTTATATTTCCTTTCTTTAGGAACATGATAGATTATTTCAAGTACCTTGTTAGAAGAAGAAGCATATATACTATGTTTATAACAGTCCTGTGATATCCCTATCAGTGGTTAGATTAATAGTATCATTTCTTAGTATAGCCATGCTGTGTCTGTTTATCCCCATTTTGTTTACTATACATTCACAAACCACCTATTCTGTAATATATTTTATAATTTTTACAGAGGTTAATATTAAATCTAAATGGTTTATTAAATTTAATAAACTACAATTTCTAGAATTTGGCCCTTTTTCCCATTTAAAATACAGCCAGTATTTATCACTTACTACTATTTGTGTTCTCTGCCAACCTATTTTCCAAGATTTTTCAAACATAGTTGGACATACTTTAATAAGAACACTTATACTTTCTTTAAATATACTATGATATAATTCGTGTAGTCCAGGACATTTGAAAAAATGATAAAGTACCTAAGGATTATTTTATTTTCTTGATTTTTTCATTTTACTCTTAAACATTATTAGTCCATACTTTTAAAGTGAAAATAGTTATCTTTTGATTGAAGATGGAATCAAAGTAGGAACTAAGTAATGCTTCCTCCTGTCTTCTTATATCATTAAACATTCTGTGCCATAAAAGCAGAATCTTTTTCACATTTCCTGTTATTTTTACACATTTGAAATTTTTTACTTGCTTTATCCTTCTTTATATGGGCTTCTTTCTTTTATTCTAATATCCTTAATTGTTTTAAATCTTAGAATGAGTGTTTCTACTGATACAAATGACTGACTTGTATTATTTTGATTTTAATTAATAAGTTATATATATTATCCATTTTCAACCATTTTCTTTTAATATTTAAACAAAATTTCTTGAAGATAAAATTTTTTATCAAAAATTTCAAGCCTTTGGGGGGAAATTTGTTTACTAAAGTCCTTTATGTATATGCTGAATGTTTAATACTATAGAGAATTTGAAAGTCTCAATTATAGAAGAGACAATTTTTATATTAGGTTATTTGATTTTGTTATTGAAGATTAAATCTCAAGCGGATTCACCATTTCTATATTAACACTGCCTTTCTATAATCTTAATTGCTTTTATGAAGGGGAAAGTTGGTAAATAGCTTCTCAAATGTTCTGTTTTTCAAAGCCATCTGACCTACTTAATTGTCTCTTTCAATGTCATCATCTGAAATAATTTCTCTATATCCTAGAGTCCTTTAAGTAAAATTTCGAAGTTGATGCTGACCAGATTGCAGGCACAATGCTCAGGTGACATCTTAATCCTCAGGACATTAGCTATAAAGCAGTTATTCAGTGACTTAAAAAGAAAAACACACTGGTAATTTGATATCAATTATCTGAATGCATCCTCACATCTTTGTTATAGGAAAAGGAAATGGATTCAACATGCATTTTATTAATCTTTTTCCTTTTGTGCCTCTCTTGAATCTAACTGAATTAGAAATAATAAAAACTTCACTTTAATCTGTCATTAAGATAAGAAAATGCAGATCCCCATCAATTTATTTAGTTTCCCCGTAGGCTACGAATGAAGTATCTTCATTGAATAAGTGCTACCTTCTGAATTACTGAAGGTACAAAACAGGGAGAATTTCATGTTTCACATATGTAATTGTATTTAAATTTGACTCAAAATTTTGTTTTTCATGCTATCCTCATTTCAGGACTCTTGGCAACAACAAAATATATACCCAGCCAATTTTTTCAAAACTAACTTATAAATTCGGGAAAATAATCTAAATTAAGCCCAAATATTCGCAATCATGAATCATTCAATTTATCCACTCTCCACTACTCTATAGCAACTTCATCACAGTTACAAAATAGAATTACAGATTTTGAAAACCATAACTCTAGAAACAATTTACTCCTGTGTTTCTTGAACTTGTTCCATCATCAGTGTAAATTGATGTATTCACTAAAATACACAGACCCTGGGTTCCTCCCATGAGGATTCTAATTCTTCAGGCTTTTTAGGCTTATGTTTTTAACCGCAACCATAAATGTTTCCTATGATCAGACAAGTCTGGGAAATAATGATATACTTTCACATCCTTGGTTTATAGATAAGGAAACTGAGACACAATCACCAAGAACAAACAGCCCAGCATTACCCAGTGAAGGAATGACCAAGTTGAAATGAGAATCCAGGTTTTGGTGGTCTGTTACTTTTTCATATTTTCAAAATCATTTATATTTTGATATGTTTTTCTTTTAATTCCTAAGTAAGATAATTATTTATTCTTTTCTCTGGAGTACATTTATCATCATATTTCTTAAGCAAAACTATGCTGCATTATCTTTTCTTATTTGTTAAGATATAGGCATTCTGTCCTGGGACCTGCGTTAGAACTACTACTAGGCACCCTTCAATTGATGTGAAGCCACTCTGGTTACCTTATCTTATCCTAGCTCAGACAGAGAACTGATCAAACATCTTATAACCACTGAGATTGTTGATGAGTACAATTGAAGACTCAGGGAGGAAATATAATTCCTTTCAAATTAATTAATTAAAATTATAAATGGACTTCATGGAAGTGAAAGAGAACTATTCATAGAACTAATAAAATGTTATCAATGCACCCATTTAAGAAGAATGTTTGTTACACCTTTGTTCCAGCAGTACATATGCCATATGTGAAATCTCAAAGGAGATTATCATTGCCCGCCCGCAGTACAAAAATAATCAAAGCACAGTAGTGAAGCAATACAGCTTTTGAGACAGACCAAAGTTTGAATTCTGACTCAGCCTCCTAATAATGTTGTAGACTTGGAGAGATAATTTTACACCAAGTTTTAGCATTTTAAAAAAAAAACAATTATTAAGGTAATACTGCTTACTTAATACTTATATAAAGATTAAGAATAACATGGAAAATGCCAAATACAGTGGCAGAAACAAAAGGAGCTTTAAGAAGTAGTAACTATTAGTGCTGTTGACAAGCACACTATATGACTCTGATTTAAACACAGAGAAAGTAAAATGGATACGAAAGCCTCCTGTTCTCAAGGCAAAGAAAAGTTTTGGTCTGAAATACTGTAGATAGCACTGAGCAGAGTGAAGAAAAATGGTTCTATATCTCACATTGTAACAATGGTCTACTTACATTTTATTTAGACTAGAGGCTACTTGCCTTATCAAATATATCAAGCACTCAGCAAAGTTTAAAAAAGCATATATAAACATTTCTATGCTATGGTTTACTAGTTCAAATATAAATATTTAAGCTTAACTGCTTCTATGTATTTTTCAATGCAAAGCAAAATAAAATCTAGATATAGAAAAATATTTGCATTAGCAGTTGTCTTGAGGTAGTAACTTTTATGCCATGACATTTGGAGTCTGACTGGTTATCGTAAATTCTGAACATGTTTAAATTCTCTTCAAAAATATTATGTATATAATAGGGTTGATTTATATTTTTACAAGTAGTATTTAAAACATAAATCTGTCCTTATTTCTGAATATAATGCCTAGTTACAAGTAACATATAAAACCAGCATTCAGATACATCCCTAATTATGTTGAAGAATTTTTTATTTAATCAAACTTGGGTAATAAAAAATTTATCTGTAATTCAGGAAAAACATGAGAATTTTAAATTCAAATTTAGATTACTTTCTGTGAAAACAGAAATAATAAACTATCAAAATATCTATTAAAGTATTCATACAATGAGAAGTAATACTGGAATCTGTAAACCTACTTTTCATTCTTGATTATTTAAAAGTAATCACCTTAACTCTCAACAGTGGCAAAATAACAGATTCAAGGCATGTGTTAAGTATAACAATTTTCATGTTTTTGAAATCTACATGATTAAAAGTTTATTGAAAGAGACATTGAATGTAAAGAGTTTTATTCTGAGGTGAATGTTTCTAGCTAATGTCAGACTACTTATACCCTTCTGAAAAACACTTACAGCATACGACTTTGGCAGTATAATTGAGTGCTTCTATAATAAGTCTCAAGTAATTGGAATATTACATTTCTGTCATGTGCTTACAGTAAAGAGCACATTGTAATAATCATTAAAAACTTAGATCATAAAAATTAAAATTTAAGGTTAAACTCTATAGCTGTTTCTAGGTACTGAAGTTTTCAAAAGGTGTTAAGTGGTGTTCTAGGATCATTACTATGGGTTACTAAATTGCAACATTCTTTTGAAGCAATTATTAAGGGGTAAGAGTTAATTTGTTACAATGAACAATATTTTCATTTCCTAAAAATTGTTGAATCTGTCCATTAATGCAAAAAGAAAACCAGATTGGAGACTTTGGGAGAGAATATTATACATGTTGTGAGACAAATTCATCTTATTCTTCTGAGTCGTTATAAATAATCACTTTGTAACAAAGACATCAAATTCTCATGTCTATGCCCATGGAGTTCATAAAAAATTGTGAAATTCCATTAAAATTCAGTAGGAATTTTAGAATCAGATCAGCGATCCTGTTAGGTAAAGAAAATTGATGTTGATAACCTGAACAGCATATGAGATCTAGAATAATATACCAAAAGAGGTTTCTTTCCTCTTCATATATTTTCCTCATGTCTGTTGGAATGTGGAATGGAACCAGATTCTACTAACAAACCTAAAATTTGATCAAATTCCTATATCATCCATTTGACAACTTTGATATTTTAATTACTCTTTTAACACAAACATTTCATTTCTATATTTTCCCAGCATCTACAATTAGAAACTTATATCAAAGATGGAATTATTGGGTAAGATTAAAATAGCATTCAATTCTAGAGAATGAGGAATGAATATTTAAATGAAATCTCTAGCAATGAGAATGAGAACTTATCACCTAGTTAAAATAAACTGGTAAGTAAATTAGCTGGAATCTTGTTACTGTAGTCCTATGACATAAATACATAGATGATGATAGATGGTAAATAGATAGACAGATAGATAGAGATGATGTTAATAGGAGTCTTCTATGTCTCCTGAGATCTTAGTAAGAATGCTTAAAAAATCCAGTTTAATATTTGTTGAAATTACTAACCCCTCAACACACAATTTGACATTGCACATTAGACATTCGTGTTCCCAAAATTTTCTTTAATTGTAGCCCTGTTCCTTTTCCATATTCTTTTCCCCAATGATTTTCTCAGGAAAAATGACCAGAACATTATTTTATCTTCTCTTGCAATCCTTGTACCTCTGTTGTCAAATCATATCTCCAAGCAACTCACTAATGCATTTTTTCAAAGATATTTGTTTCCTCCCTGAGAAATGTCATGGTGCCAGCTATAAAGATAATTAATTTAAATATTATATAACTAAATAAATATCCACGTTGATACTGATATTGCTGATTATATTTTACATATCATCTTGGCTAAGAAGATTAATTCTGAAATCAGAATCCTGAGTTTAATTTGTAGTTCTGCCATTTACTCATTTAAGGTTTTTAACTTTTATTGAAACTTGATTTCTTCAACAGTAAGGTGGGGTGGGATAGATAGTCCTCACATTGGACAGTTGTAGAATTAATTGTAAGTACTATAAATACTGATTGCGATCCCACCCAGTCATAGTCAGTTTTCTTAAATGGAGATAATAATAGCACCTACGTCCTAAACTTATTATGCTGTACAAGAGGAAAAATGCAACTAAAATGCTTGCACAATTCATGGTTTACATTAGTGAGTAATATATTTTATTGCTACTACAATTAGCAATAAATGGCGGTTAACACCATTTTTCTATACACAGTATCTCTTTAATATATCTTGCAATTAATTATAACAAATGATAATTATTTATATTATTGTAATAATATTTTTACAAACAATATTAAACCAGATAGTTTATTATCAACCACTCTAGAAACAAGCATTTCTACTGGGTCCACATGTTCAAATTTGAGCATTAGCATTTATTTAATAGATAAATATAAAAACAGAAAGAAATACACACTCTCCATTTCATAGTTTTCGATGTCCAAACTATTATTTAGCAGTAAAGTTAACATAAAAAAAGATAATTTGTAATCCTTGTTACTCACACATCTAAGTGTTTATAATAGGAGGACAGTCTTCTGGGGATGGTCTTCATAAATTAGTGTTTCTTATAAAGTTGGATCCTTAAACATTGTGCATGCTAGGGGCACCGACACCAAAGAAGTGAAAACCCATGTATTACTTTTGATATCCCAAATCTTACCTACTAAGATAACCTGCTGTTGACCAGAATCTTTACAGATAACATAAACACTTGATTAACACATAGACTAGTATTTACATATATTTTATGTATTAATGACATACATTTTTTCTTACTGTTTTTGATATTTCTAGACTGCATGGTTCATCGCAGTTTTTTTTCAAATTGTCACAGATCTCCAAAAATTCTTTCAATATTTTTATTGAGAAAATATCTGGATATAAGTGGATCTGCACAGTTCAAATCCATGTTGTTCAAAAGTCAACTACATATTTATGCTATGTATTTTGACAAGGCTAATACAGGGAGCAGTAAGACAAGGAAAACATGTCAATTATGGTATTCAACTGAAGTAAAATTTAGAAAAAGTTTAAAATTTAGAAAAGTAAAAGTGGGTTTCTATGTATTATGTAGGAAGATTAGTGTATATCTATCATCTGTTAAAGAAATTGTGATCAGAAAGAGGAGAATAACTTAAATGGTGTAAAAGCAATTTCTAAAACTAAATAATTTGGCTAGGTTCATTCTCAGATACGTAGTTCAGCTCTTGAAGCAGTGACCTGGAAATAGTTCCTAAAGGTTTTTGCTTATTAAAATGATTTGCTATTATAGCGATAACACAATCTCATTGTAGATAGCATCTGAATCAGTGCGATACTCTACATCTTGCCTCCAAGTCTAGGATTTAAAATTTTTTTTTAATACATCACTTTATTCTCCTGGCTAAGTTCATATCCTCTTGGTTTAAAGCCAATTTCTAATTGAATTCAGTTTGTTTAATTGCTCCTCAGAGATGTCCATAAAATGTGCTCTCCCAGATTTCCTAGCAGAAATGCCATTGTCTCTGCTCAGCATTCCCTAGCAGGCAGCAAAACTGCCATCAAGCTCTGTCTTGCTCAACAATGACTCTTTAATGTGGTCATCTCATGTGCTTTGTATTTCAATTATAATTTAGAATGAATTAAAATCTATTTAAATGGATAGCCTCATCTCTTAATACTCGATGGAAATTCATTTCAGAACATTCTATCTCCTTAAGGTAGCACAGTAAAAATGTGTGTCATCCTTTATATCGTTAATTTTAATGTCATCAATTTTATTTCCCTTTATAATTTAATCCTACATTTTTATTGATTTTCATTAACCAAGTAAAATACAGTGATGTGTTTGTGTCATATACTCTTCATAACTGAAGCATCAAAAGTTTTACTCAAAGATAGATTTAAAAGTCTAGAACTCTGTATTCCAATATTATAGAACCAATTTTAGAATCAGGCATCTCATGAAAGCAAGTAAAGTTACTTTCTATGGTACTGAAGCATTTTATTGTTTTAACATAAAAATAACTCATGGAATGAAGTCTAAGGTCACAATTTCATTTATACTAATGAACATCATGTTAGAATTTCACAATTTATGGTTAATGAAGTAACCCTTTCACATGTATTTGATCGCTTATATCAACTCTGTGAAAAAAAAATCAGCATTATTATTTCCAGTCTATAGATCAGGAATTGGTAAACTTGGGCCAAATGGGACCAGCAACATGTTTGCATAAATAAAATTGTATCAGATAACAGTTGTGCCCAGTAACTTATATGTTATTGATGGCTGTTTTGCAGCTACAAAAGCACAGTTAAGTAGTTGTGACAGAAGCTATGGAGTCCACAAAGCCTAACATGGAATATGTAGGATGTAGAGTAGGATGGAAACTAGCACACTGAATCCAACACTGTTGGAAACCTGAAGCCTAATTTCATCATCAAGCAAGTGTTCCACATATGCCGAAGTTACTCTGTCTTGTAGCCAAGCATCTGAGATGGACATGATAGAGATATCACATTGAGATTTTACTTTCTTTTCTTTCTGCCTTGACAACTTACATTTATTTGACCCCTCAGATAGTAAATTTCGTTAGGTAAATTTTCATTATAATCTGAAGAAAACTCATTATTCCTGTTCCTGCTGGCAAGTCATTTAGCCTGATTTGC